ATTAATGGGAAGGGAAAGAAACTTAGAAAGGATCTGCTCTAATTTATCAGGCTGTAAAAAGAGATGGCGGGAGAAGCCTCTTTTTACTTAGACTTGCTGTAGTCTGTACTTTCAGACTTGCAAGATTCTGTTAATGCAGCCTTACAATAAAGTTGAATTAGCTCATTTTGTTGTTTCCTGTCTGGTCTACCTGGGAGGCTGACAAAAACACACTATATGAGGAATGCAGACAAACATGTAAAATTTACTTAAATAATTCAAACTCTCAAAAAAGCATACCTTGGCTATCTCAAAGAAAGCTAACTTAGATCACACATCACTGGTACTTACGTGGGAGAATACCAGGAAATCCCAAGACTGTAAACTGGTCTGGGGAAATGAAAAACAGCCCAGAAGTCAATGGTGGCAAGCCACATCTATACTGTCAAGCTTGACTCAAGGGACACTTGACCTTTTTCCCCAAATATATGTAATTCACCCATTAAAACCCAATTTTTCACCAACTTTATTGTGATCAGTGAACTCTTATTTTAAATTTAATCTTTCTCTGAAATAAGATTTTCTTTTTCATGACCAATATATTGGCTCTTCTATTTCCATTTACTTTTCACTAAAGAATTACAATTACAGAAATCAGTCCTTCCTACCTATTCTTACTTGCTCAATGTAGTCCCAGGGCAGGAAGCTAAAATGGGAAGTTGAAGAGATATGCTGGAAGAAGGCAATGGCAAACCACTTTGGTAATGTTGTCAAGAAAACTACATATACAAGGTCACCAGGAATTAACTTTGAATCTAGAGTAACTTTACCATTTTTAAAGAGAGATTCGGGGATAGAGAACCTTGACATTCTTCAGCGCAGGTGAGTATTTCTGGTGTTTGTAACTACATAACACAGAAACAAAGTTAACCTAATGATCTGATTTTGACAGTTTGCCAAGACAGTTTAACCATGCTTTATTGAATAATCCATAATTTTCTGGGTTTGCACCTAACACTAAGTCATCCATGGTTTGGTTTGGAAACTATGAACATATTATAACTTAGCATAATGAATGAAAACAGCAAAGAATATCTGATGGGTAAAATATGTTTAGTGAAGATGAATGGAAGACAGGTGGCAAGATATTCTCTCTTTCACACTATAGATACATAAAAGTTTTTAGAAGTGTATTAATAAAACTTCCAATATTCTAAATTATGGATATGGAATTATTAGGACTTCTTCCCATCCCTCAAAGTAGCAATTATGCTCAATATAACAACAGGGTGAACAAAAACAAATATGATACAATGAAATTTCAAGAGACGAGTCAGGGATTAATATTGGAAGCCATCTCAGAACATCTTTAGAAAAATTTCCTAATTTTCAAGTGTCATTTTCTCAGAATTTCTAGACATAGGAATCTAAATTCAGTTTATATTCTACATAGGTTTTAAGTTTCTACATTTGTTACAGAAATTGATTTGAATGAGTTTTGAATTTCTTCTTCTTTATCTCAAAGATTATGCATCATCAAGTCAATGTAGATTGTCTGCAAAAAGTGAGTCCTCATCATATATAATATAAGAACACTCTGCCACCCTCCTTTGGATTACAATCCTCTGCTTTCAGAGTCAGAAAGTAAACTACACATGATGGTGATGGCATCAAGGTATTGCTTACTAACCATTATGTATATTCAACAGAGCTACATATGTTAGTGTAAATGGAAACCTATATTTTAAACTGTATTGCCATGTCATATGACAGATGTTTGCTGTTCTTTGAAGCTGCAGAAACACAGACCACTTCAGTTAGGAGTAGGCACACCCTGCCTAAAAGCCACATTTAAATGCGAAATTTTGCCTTTGTTGGTTACCAAGCAAGGAAAACAGGCCTAGTATCACTTTCAAAACCTAAGTTATTTCTGTGGTCCAGCTATAAAAGCACTGACACATTTATAGCCTTATAACAGCAATAGCAATTGTTAAAATTAATTTCACTGTGCTTTTCCATTAGTTTTTAAAGCAAACATTTTTCAAATTCTGTCATTTGACCAACTGACCAAGTATTTTCTGACTACAGTACTGTGACCTATCCCTGCTATATATTAGAAAATGGAGTTCTTATCCTAAACGCATGGGCTGAATCTTCTTCGGTTCCCTGATGATTCTATAACAATCCTGTCAGATTGTACTGTATATACTTATTAAACTGGTAACTACAGCAATATTACATAGATCCTGAAATGCTTCTTTTAGATGTAAGTTATGAGTAGCTCTTGCAAGGCCAAACAGGAGTTTGTGACACTTCGGAGTGATCTCAGAAACACACTGAAATTGGACACTCACCTACTCTCTTGAGCACAGAATTGCCACTTCTAAGACTGAAAGAATATATGACTAATTGCATTAAGGAAAGGCTGATACAACCCCAAAACCACGTGAAATGCAAACAGGAATTGACTATGCTTCAGAATACATTGAACAAACCAGATGTTTTCAAGTGTTTATAAAAATAAAAATCTTTATTACAGTCACAGACCAGCATATACAGAATAACGCTTTTTAAAAAGTAAAATTAGCACCCGTGTCAATAACTGTTATTGGCTATTTGTGGGCAGAATTTACATATAATGTAACAAGTCACTACTTTTAAAGAGATAGAGTTATCTTGATCAATTAATACGTAATGTAAATAGAAATTATCAGAATGTACTGGAAACTTAGCTAAAAGAGGAGTAATTGGCTGGTGAAGCGAATCCCTACAAAACTGATAATCAAGAAGAATATGGGCCATGGTTTCTATTGCACCCATGCCACAGGGACACTAATATGTTTCAAAAGGAAGTCTCTTATATTTCCCTTCCAAAACAGCTATGGGGAGGCATTAAAACGGCTGGAGTTAAAGCTCTCCTGAATTTAGGGGTCAAAATTTTGTATAGGTTTGAAGCTGGTTGGGGAGCTAAAATTCTCTTATTTATAAATATGTTCTATGGGAGGGCAGCAGTTTCTACTTGACCTTCAAGGGTGTCTGTCTGTCTGGCTGTCTATATCTATCTATCCATATAGACATAGATATACATACAAATCCCAAATTGATGGCCAAGGAAAAGGGTGCTCAGGTGCATCAGAGAAAGGAAAAAAACAACGTGGGTTGTACCGCTAATGTTTTAAAGTCAAGGCTTACAAACCTGCCACCAAAAGGTCTAAACAAAAACAAAAATCACGAACTGTTGAACGGCCCCAAGAAGTAAAGGCTACGGGAAGACCGGACCAAAACAAAGGGACAAAACCGAATCAGCCAAGCAGAACCCTTCGCTTCCTAAGACACGCTTTTAGCCCTCCCTCAGATCCGACGACCTGAACGCCTCCCCTGCCTCTCACGCGCCTCCGACAGAGGCTCTTCCTTCCCCCGCAGCCCTTCCAGAGCAGCCAAAGTTGCACGAACGGCCCAGCCCCGGCTGAAGCCCCCCAGGCCACCCAGCCTGACCCCAACGGAGCAGAAGGCGGCCGCCCTGCCCTCTCTTTTCTCACCCCTCTCAATTCAGGCGGACGAGGACGAGGAAGCGGGGCTGGAGGGCAGCGGGGCGCCAGCGCCAGCACCCCCACTGGCCCTGCGGCTCCAGCGACCCCTCCCCAACCAACCACGCCGACCTGCCAGCGACCCTCCCCCCGTTCACTCCTCCTCATCGCGTTGCATTGAAGCTGCGGGTGGGTTTCAGCGCCCTCTAGAGCAGCTCCAAGCGGGGGGGGGGGGGGCCCCCCCCCC